CCTCAAGATCGTTTTTTCAGTTTGTGCTTTCCTGTCGTTTAGCCCAGATATTCCAGATGTGATTGTGAATAGCCTTCCCATGGGATTTTTACGAGTCTTTGTTAACGGATTTTTGATTTTAAACGTTCTCTTTTCATATCCTTTCAGAGTCATTACCATAATTCACACAATCGAGGAAATTTTTTCAGTCGATTCACTTCCATTCAGATGTCCCGAGATTGTTTGGTTCATCGGCATTCGAGTGTTTACAAATTTTCTAACACTTCTACCCGCGATTTCTATTCCACATTTTGCGCTTTTTATGTCATTCATCGGAAGTTTAACTGGTTCCTGCGTTGCTTTGATTTTTCCTGCAGTTTTTCACCTCAATATCCAAAAGGACAACTTAAAACTATATCAGATCACTTTTGATATTTTGGTGATATTTGTTGGAGTTTTTGCGAGTTTTACAGGTTTAATTTTCACCGGAAAGAAAATCCTTCAGCTTTAGACTTCATCGTGTTTTGCTTTTTTTATCTAAACGAAAAGAGTTGAATTTCGTTCCTTTTTTCGAGTATTACATTGCCACATGGCAGTGTAACTTTTTCCACTGTAGATTCACTCCCCAGGTATTTGAATGTTAGCGAATGAGCTTGCAGCTGGTTAAGATTGAAGATATGATCTGCGATATCCAATAGTTTGTATAGAAACCAATCCCCCTCCTAACCCTAGTCCACGCGGCTATCCATATAAGTTTGACTTTCGCACGGATCATTCAAATATAACGGTGTTAGCTCGAGTAGAAGGTAATCGCAAGTACGTTCTTAGGCAGCCGTAGTCCAAAATCGTCACGTAAATTGATCTACCGTCGAGTGTCCCGTGTTCCTTATGTTATTAGTATTGCCTATGTTATACACATTTCCTGTTATTTCCAATCTTGTAGTTAGTCGTTCCGTTCATGATGTACTATGTTTTTAATACTTTACTCAGAAACCACTGGCAATGGCGTGTAAATAGAAGGTTTCGATCGTGTCGTCAGCAAATTAAACTCCTCTTAAATTTATTGCTGGTATGTTGGTCACGGTTTGATCTATCTCTAAGTTAAATTTTTATAAAAGCATATCGTTTTTTGCCGAGCTTTGGAACAGTAACACTACAATAGTATGATCAGTTTTTCACTGCCCAGTGTAGTATATTTCCATAAGCTTGGGCGAGTCGCGGGTGTGAAGGACATATAAGAAACTGCCATCGTTCTTTGATTCTCTCTTTACAAAAGGTCTAGAATCTGATCGTCAGGTGTTTTCTTTCACAAGTAGAAAGAAAAAGGGCTTGAAAAACTGTAATTATTGTGGAGAAATAAATAGAGATAGCGCACAGATATGGAATTTCTCTTCATAATTGATAATTACTTACAAAAACAGCACAGTTCCCGATATTATAATTACAGGTAATCACATGATCTTTCTCATGCCATTTTGAATAAATAGGCACTGAAACTGGACTGAAAACTCAAAAAGAATCTTAGATGGAAATTGCTTCGTCTCAAGACGACTTTAACGTCTTAGACAACTTTAACGTCTCTAGCATAAAAACGGCCGTTTACGAAAATTGTTCAATAATTTTTTTTAATCAATCACGCGACGGACTTCCCCGAAAAGCAGGGGCTCTTCGTAGTCTAGACTGTATTGTGCATTATGAATTAGGCTAACATACGTGTAAAAGGAACAAAATATAACAAAGTTTCCTACCAATACTGTGCCATCTATAAAACTCATTATTTTCTCTTGATAACCCGTAACACAATGGTTAGTTACCAAAGAGAGTCCAAGTCGGCATGAATTTATGTTAAATTAACGGGATGAATCATTTTGTGAATGATGACATAATAGAATTCCTTTTCCTGTCTCTTGAACCTTTATCACCGGAAAGTCAATCCTCCCGTTAGAAAAAGAGAGGATTTTTATATGCTTGCGATACTACTATAAAAATGGATGAAAGAGCTGTCACACCAGCTGCCAAATTGTACTATGTTCGAGCTTTTCCGGGACTTCTTTTTAGCTTTTTTCCGATAATTGAAAGTAAAGTTTCGGAACTGAAGCGAGCCGGCAAGTAGCAACAGAAGAACCAAATGAAGGTTTGTAAACATACCAGGCGCCGTAATTTACGTTATTAAAACGTGAGCAGATGCGAAAATCCTCAAAGGAAAAACAAAATAGACATTCCGAGTTTTAAAGATTAACTCGCGCTCAGTTAGATTGCAAGCTTACGTACAGAAATAACAATCAAACACAGCGAACACTTATATAGTATTTAAAGTTCAGTGTTCAAAAACAAAACAGAACAAACACAAATTATGAAAAATATAACCAAATTGGCATAACTGTTAAAATTCATTCTAATCATGACGGTGTCTGAGCGAATATAATCATGCTGAAGTTCATCGCGGCTCGCTCATCATGGCGATCTCCGGTCATCACAGTAAAGCAAGTCTCAGAAACTATATCAGTCGCCCTTCGAGTGAAAAAATAAGAGCTTGCTCTGATATCCTTTCCAATGCGTTGAGTGGAAAGTCACTGCAGCCGAGTTTTGCCGAATCTTGAGCGATCTTCATGTTTCGGTGAATTCGGCTGTCGTTCATTCAAGAAGTCAGTCACTGCAGCCGAGTTTTGCGGCGCTGTCATCACGAGCGATCTTCATGTTCAGGTGAATTCGGCTGTCGTTCATTCAAAAAACACTCGCCTTGAACAGTTTTTTTTCTACCTTGTCATGTGAAAAAACTCGCGTGTTTTTATGAGCCATAATTTGGCTGAAGTTCACTGAACATTAACTTTAAGATTCTGTATTAGAGACTTCCGGCCAAAGTGTTAAATTCGACTTGCCGAACTATTTTAGTTTGTAAACTATCGTAGAATGTGAACTTTGATGGTTTTTGAACTTTGATGTTTTGACACTTTTGACAGCTTTAGTCTTGTACAGCCAATCAGATTATTTGAACGATTCTAACGGGGATTCTGATTGGCTTAAGAAGGGGGAAGAAAGTGGGAAGAAACACTCGACTACGTCTCGTGTTTCTCCCTACACTTCTTTCGCGCTCTAGCCGCTTCCTGCGTGCTTTATAACAGAACAGAGCACAGTCAAGGCTTCTCTATTTGTTAAATCTAAATCTCTAAAGATAGTATATCACTTGATAACTTGTCTCTGATCACACCACGAGGTGCCACGTGGTCCGATC